GAAGAACTTTGGGTGCTGAAAAAGAAGCCTCGTATTTTCTTCGAGTTGAAGTATATGCTTTCACATAGTGCGAACGTTTTACACTAACCAGATAGAGTTCTAATTTTTCTGCATCAAGTCCCCCGAGCTAAAATAGGACCACGAAATGTAAACTGTTTCTGATAGAAGTCTCCACGTTCCAGAGTTCGGCATGTTTGATCTACATCCAGTTTCTACATGGGCTAGTCGATTCATAGCTCGTCTGGAAGGGACGATCAGACAGAGCGCCTTGCAGAGCGTGTTATTTCCCGCCCTTCGATACGCCTAAATTTACGTATTCTTTATTTAATTTTTGCTCGAAAATATTAAATATTGTTTTTTTGCTTTGGGGTAAGGTATCATATCTATTAAACGAACCTCGAAACAGACGCCGGCGATGCAGAACTGGATTGACTGACCATTTCCGAGTTCTACAGATCCAAAGTGTTCAACGGCCGGCTAGCCAAACAAAGCGAAATATTCGTTGCAAAAAAAATTTGTCTACTCCGTTTCAGCCAATGTTTCTAGAACCCTCAGTTGGGAAATTCACCGTTGAAACTTGGGCCGCTGGCGTCCACCGAGACCGAGCTAAATACGACAACAGCGCCACTCTGTCTTTACTGTGGTCACCTTGACCTTCAGGCGCATGTTTTTGCGTAAAAAAACAACGGGGAAAAAACTCTTTTTGTAGTAACTTTTATTGGAGTTTAGTACAAATTGAGGGCGTGTGATGTTTTCTAAAATCTTCAGTTTGCAAGGTTTTGCGACACAATTATACAAACATGCTTCAGCAGTGCTTTCAGGTAGCGTGTCACGATTTAGGTGCATTTTAACTTCGGTAGTAAGTCGCGGCGTGTTTGCTGGGGAGATGGGAGTGGCACCCCTGTAACTTCTTCCACTGGATCTGTTACAGCACCAAAGTGGTCGATTAAAGCCAAAATAGACGTCACGTGCAGTTCCTCGAGTGGCTGCCGCAGGAGAAATGGCGGCATTGCGATCGCCATTAACTCTTTTCTCGAGGACAGATCGGGGCCACTTTTTTAGAGCAGGCTCGCACCAAGCGAGCAGATGAATGACTCTCGTTCACTTTCTTAGCTCTGCAGTGCAATTAGCCCCGAGAGCGAACACAAGCGTCACTGCAGTCGCCGTGCCCCGATTGGGTGAGGAGTGCCATGATGTCCAGGGGAAGGACTCCTGTTCGTGATCTCGCATGATCCGGCTGGCTTCCCTGCCCCGGTTTCCTGGGTTGGGTTAGATGCTGTCACCCCGTCTCGTTCCCCGCACTGCTGGGTTAGACACAGGGTTCGGCCGATACCGACTTGCCCCCCTCAGTCCTTTCATAAACAACAAACTTTCACGAAAGAATGCGCCAGCACAAGAACAATGTGCGCAACCTCGACCGTAAACGCAGCGCCGTTGCTGAACATTGCGAAGCGCGTGACCATCCGATTGACTTTTCTCATGCGCACGTGATTAACACGGAGCCAAAATTCCGGAAAAGGCTCCTCTTGGAATCTTGGCACGTCCAACAGACGCCAGGAAACATCAACTTAAAAATGTTGCTGCTCGTAACCGACGTTAAGCTCCTCCGCATCGAATATGCGGCAAAGCTTGTCAAATTGTGATTACTGCTCGAAAGAAAAGCAGAAATTTTCACTTCTTCCATTGTCCGACATGGCCCAGCAAAATCAAATGATTAATTTGTTCTAACCAATTTCTTCCGAAAATTGATTACAAATTTAATATTGCTCGTCGAGAAGGGCATCCTGCATTATGCGCAATTATTTGCGTTCGCAAAATTTAACATACAAAATGAAGCAATTCATAGCAGGTGTATACCTGATTTTCTGGAATGCTGCGGTGTCACCGACTTACTAGATTGAAGACCTCGATCGCGAGGGGGCCTCGCACGCTTTGATTGGGTGAATAAGCAGAGATGTAGCTCAAACTACTCCAGAAGACAGCCACCACTTCCTCCTGCCAGTTATTTTGAGAAAATGTTTTACGAGGTTTACGAAATTCAAAAAGGAATTGGCTGGAAACTAATAAGAGACCAGCACTCGAAGAACACAATGGAACCAACAGGACACACGGAGTCACTTTCACTGAAGTGTTTACTACACATGAGAGCGATTCTCAAATTTCACATTCCTATTTTCAATTTGATGAGACATTCCTTTCTGTTCTATTTTGTCCAAATTATAATAAACCCACCATAATTGCCGTGGCAGATGTAGTGGGGTAAAACACTGTACATTCCATTTTCATTATCGAGCTTTTTGTACAGGGGTAGAAAACAGCAGCACACCATCGTACCACCACTTTCGCACCTCAGCACCAGAAGGGTTTGTTAGCATAACTATGCGTGCCATGTTTTCAAGCTTCATTAAAATGTCTTAGTATGTATATCACTTCACCAAAAATTAAAGGAAGATCCATTGTTGAATCCTTGGTGAATGCGTCAAAGGGAAAAGTCACACACGTTCCCCTTTGAGAAACGCTAACGCTGACCCTTCACTTTTGTTTTGTCTTTCTCTATTTTATGCTGCCTCGTTTTGACTTCAGTACGATTCAGTGTTAGCGTTTCTGAAAGGGGAACATATGTGGCGTTTCCTAAGAGTCATCCCGACGTATTCCCCAAGGAGCCATGAATGTATCTTCCTTCAATTTTCCTCCGCTTACTTATACCAGTGCTGGCACTTAGTTCACAATCCATTTTGTGACACAATCCAAGGCATACACTCCACAAACGCTGCAGCAAGTTCACTCGCCCCAGCACCCGCGCGTGCATTGGCTCCCGCCCCTTGACGTCGCCTCCCTCTCGCCTTTGTCGTTCACTACTCTCCTCAATGCAGCACGCTTCCCTTCACACAATTTTGTCCACAGACGAATGCCGTATATATTTCCCTGCCATGTCTGTACTAATGCTAAAGCATTAATAAACAATGCTTGAAACAGGCTTTGCCACGCATTACCAAACCAGTGCTCTTTTGCAATCTGACGAGTTGAGGGATCCAAGATCTGCGTGGTCTGTCCTACTTGTGACGTAACAAACGAAGATGATAGCGTGAGAAACACCCCCTGTGGTTCATGTACACCGCTAATTGAGGGGCTGTTCTGATCTACGCACATGCCGACTCAAACACTTGTATATCCCTGAATGGCACGTCCTCTTATATTTTAAGGCACTCAGAACGCACAAAACAAAGTGAACACGAAAGAAGGTTGTCACATACTGTTTTGCTTTCCATCTGCCTTCTGAAATTGCAAAATAGCCAACATGAACTTTGCCTTCAGTTCCTGGGTTCATGTGCCATACATCGGAAAATAACAATGAGTCAAGAAGACAGCGGGGGCACCAGGTTTCCGGAAACGTCTACAGCAGGGTGGGCGCAATTATCTGGCACAACACGAAGAACAGCTCTGCAAAAGAGTAAAAGAGGGAAAATAGATCCTTGGAAGGAAGTCTATTTGGGCCTTCAACTGTTTTGAAGTGTTGTGAAGGCTGCGGAAGGTGGCAGTTATTCCAGGCATCACTCACGGGAATAAGGCAACTTGCCTCGAGTCAAATGCGCATAATTTTCTAAAGACAAGGCAGCAAGAGGTGGGAAGATTGGGCCCTAGAGCTCCCTCCAATGGCTCCGATGAAGCAATTCAAGTAGACCTCAGATGGTCGAGCATCGAGGCCAAGGAGACAGTGGTGAAGACCTGCTACAAGAGGCGCCCAAAACAGGTGGATCCGACAAGGTGGACGACAAGATCTGGACCTACATGGTCTACAGGGACCAGAACACCACGCGGTGGAAAAGAACAAGGTCACTCACACATCACTGTCCCATCCCAACACGACCTTTGATGGATAGCAAGGAGCCGGAGGACAACGCTGCAGCCAATGCCTAAAAGGCGAGGACACTCACGCAAGAGGAAGAGACACGACACTGGAGGAATAGGATGGCTTAAAAATCATTGCCATGGATGTACAAGGTACAGGACAGAATTTGGAGTATTTACGACAACACCGGGGGAAGCGGTTTCTTATTCAATGCATGGGCAGGGACTCTCTGAGGACGTCAGTGGAGGGCTATCTTCACCGAAGACCTAGAGACTGCTTGCACCAGCTGTGGGACGGAGACACAGTGATGGACTGCCAAGGTATAAGGCCGGAGCCAGAAACGGACTTGTTCCTGGAGGCTCTTGCCATTGGGACAGGGGTGGAAGCTGACATAGACTCTGCAGATGCAGCACAAGAACAGAGCATTAGAGCAGGAAGTATATTTATTATGTATAATGTGACTCCCACAAATAAATGTAGCGTTATTTTCATTGCAACAATAAACTATGGATTGTCAAACGCTCATTCAAAGCTTAAGTGTAGCACTAGCAGTCTGGACCAGATGCCAAAGTTTCAGAATTAGCCATCATCTCATTTAAAAGTTCAGTGATTTTCTAAAAATTTCAATGGGAAAATGGGGCCCATTTTAGCTCGTTTCAGGTGACTGGCGCCATTCAGCTGTGAGGACTTAATTGACTGACATTTTCCGATAAAAACTTCAGAAATTCGCTTATAACTTTTTAATAAAATAATGTTTAGTTCTGAAACTTTTGCATCTGGTGCGGACCTCTAGGATATCATTTGCATGGAGAATGAGCGTTCACCTATGCATAGTTTGCTTGCGTAATAAAAAAAAATATACTGTTATTTTTTTAATTTCTTGGGGGGGGAAGGGGGGGGGGGGGGCGACAGTGCGTGGACTCTATTCACCCGAAAAAAAAAAAAAAAGGAAGGGCCACCACAACCCAATCTAAACCTATGTGCTGCAGATGCACATTCACTCGGCAGTCAATTTCACGGCTATGAAACTGCCACAGTGAGGTCCCAGCATGGAACAGGATGGCAAATTAAGAACTTTCCAGGGAGCTGCTCTGCCAATGGCATTCCTTCAGCTAAGATATGCAATGGCTGGAAAACAACACTATAACACTGGAAGCTCAAACTGTCTAGCTTTATTTGCGAGGAACGCCAATACAGAACTTTGATGACACATTTATCTGCAGAATTTATTCTTGACAAACGAGAGTAAGAAAAAATCCACAATGAAGATATATACAAATGCGTTACACAATGCAATACTGAGCACACATTGACCAACAATACCCAGAATGCAGTAAGCCAAGCAAAATATTGGATGTGTTAGTACTTGAAAACTACGGTCCGAAAATTCTCACATACAGATACACAGAAACAACTACTGACCCTCTATGTCTATTTGCTGATCGCGTTTGACCAGCTCCGCCTATGGACGGCATTGCGGCCACGGTCGGCCATCTTTTTGGTAGAGTGTAATATGGCGGACAGCGCTATGGCAGCAGGCTGCCATAAAATAGCCGTGGATCTAGTACACTGTACAGTGGGTGATATCTCGTGCTCGAGTGAAGTTGTTTGAAGAACAGATTCTTGAAACCCGGCGTGAATGGTAGCCTCTACTTTGAGGACCCGGCGAAAGTTCTACGAAAGCGCAGCACCAGGGGAAAGAAGCACAGCTCGTATCGGAAGCAGACGCCGTTACGGCGTCTGTTTTCGATGCTTTTTTTATGAGACTTTTGATGCATGCTGTGCTGCTTATTCCCCGATGCTGCGATTTCGTGAAACTTTCACCGGGTCCTCAAAAATCAAGCTACCGTTCACTCCAGGTTTCAACAAGATGTTTCGTCAAACAATTTCAATCATGAACGAAATATAACCCACAGCTATTTCTGCCACAACACAGTCTGCCATGGATGGATGATAGTGGCTGCACCAGCTCTACATGGTTAGAGGTAATATAACTCTACCAAAAAGATGGCCGTTTGTGGCCGCATATGCAGAGCGGGCAAACGCGATCCAAACAGACATAGAGATCAGTGGAAACAACTATCAAGAACCAGAATACATAGCAACGGAAAATTAAGATCACCCAAACACAAGAGCGATACCTCAAAGCAGGTGTCATATAAATACATGACTATGAAGATGCCAGTGCAGGGAAGGAAGCAAGAACACTTCAAATGTGAGCGAGTTCAAGTCCGTTCAGTTCTATACACCTCTCTTCAAGCCAGCGTTGAACACGCATTATGGAGAATAAAAAATTTACACGCTATCAATTATGAAACGTGCTTGGTGTGGGAATACGACTATAGTAGGGGGACAGCTTGGCCTTTCGGAGAAGAGAGCTCACGTGCAAGATCCATCAGTGCTCAAAATTGGAAAAGGCATAAGTGCCAGTGCCTTTGACTGCATTGCCAAGAAAAGTTATCCCCGAGCATAGCAAAGTTCGAATTGGGAGCACGAACCACTGCAGTGCGCACACACACACACACTCAAAAATCGGTTCCCAGCTGAGTTGATTGCTAAAATGGAGAGGCATGCTAGAGAAAATTAAAAGCTAGAAAATCATTCCATGTGATGAGGTTCATGTCAATTGGACAAAAAAAAGGAAGACGGCGCAAGAGGCACAAAAAGGAATAGCACAAAAGATTCGAGGTGGGACAGCCAGCGACCAACGGGACGCCTTTTTTGGAGGTTGACACGGGGCAGTGACGCCCGTGACGTCACTGCCAAAAACGCATAATTTTTTTTTTTTTTTTTTTTTTTTATGTTTTGCGGAGCTTGTTGCAGGTTGCTGTGTCTAGTGTTGGGGTGGGGGGACAACAGCTCCGGAGTTGTCTTTCCACGATTAAATCAACATGACCTACAACGTCGACCAACGGACATTTATTTTTTTATGTGCTCTTCTCGCGGGTCCCGATTTCAAGCAGCAAGAAGAAAGAAGGAAGTATTCGAAACCGGCCACGACGAACATGAACGCTGGATCCACAAACACCCGGGAAAAGGTACAATAGCAACGATGCCACCGACCGAGCGAGCTCGAAGCCTAGCAGGCAGTCCGACTCGTCGCAGCGTTGCCGGCGTTGCTCCGACGGTCCTTGGCTGAGACTGTCTGCCCACGACCGACCGGCTGGCTTGCTGAATGAAATACGTGCCCGCGCGGCCCTTTTGGACCCTTTCTGTATTATAGTTCGATCGCTCACCTCAATTTCAATTAAGGGGTCATTCTCTTGCCCTTGTCATCTCCTTTTCCGAGGCAGCAGTGACGAACGCTGTCGTCGATTCTATCTCCTTGTTTTGTGATATGGAGCTCAAATAAACGCCGTATGGATTACATTTGCAACACGGTTTGTACACTTTGTTATTAGTGGGCCACTTTTATTCTGACACGCTTGTCACCGCGGAGGTGCGTTCACGCCCAATTGCTTCCGATTGTGCATTACTGTCGGGCTATAACAGTTTGTGAGAGCTACGCAATGCCAGTCCCACCTTTCTTTGCCGAGAGTCACGTCAGTATCGACCGGTGCTCGTGAAAGATCGGTCCTGAAGCCCTTCGATCAAACGTGTACGTCCGCTCCAAGTGTGCACAAGCATTTACGTGGCTCTTGCTGACACTCTCGTAGTTGAAACATATCTTTTTTAACGTCGGCTCGCTCCTGCATCTAAAACGCAGCGGCGATTTGTTTCCATCTACGTCGCTTTGCAAACGACTGGCACAGGCCGTTTTCTACCAACTATGACAATTGTATTGACTTCGGAGGAATGAGCTGGGAACATACTCCGGAGGAGTACGCGAAGTGAAGAGGTGAAGATGTCCAGGTAACAAAATATCTGCAAATAGCTCTATTTTGACAAACCCGGACAGGACGTCGCAGACGTCAAACTACTACTCTGCTACTTTGCTCTGCCCCGCATCGACCTCCGAAAAAGGCGTCCCGCGATTGACAGCCTGGCCATGGTGCTCGGGTCAACGGCCTGAACAAGGACTGGGTTGCAAGTCGCTGGTAACCAAGAACCCGCCGGATCAAGTCTCCAAGGCAGCGGACCATAGAAACCTCCGTTCGGGGAAAGACCAAGTCGCCGACACATCCGCCCAGCCATTCGAGCTCCGTTTGAACTGAAGTAGTACGAGCAACCCAGGACACCCGACACTGCCCCATGAGCCTCCAAACTTCATTCTCTCTCCGGCACACAGGAACTCGAAGACTAAGGTTAAAAGAGTAACACCTCCACCGGAAGAAACCAAACTGAACACTGTCGCTTCTGCTGTAAATATTTCTTTTTTTTTTATTGTATTTTATGTTCTATGATTAGCTTCTTTTCTATGATCACAAATTGCTGAAATTCAATTTGGTCTCGCCTTTCATTTTCTTAACATCTTAATTTAACACGAACGAACGAACCTTGTGACAAGTCATCCGGGACATTGTCTGGGAGGGGCGTCAAAGGCTTCTCCCCATTGCTGAGCACCCGGCCTCGCTTTCATTCGCCGGAGTCGCACGCAGTGAGGTTTAGCGAACATTGCAACTGAAAGTTCCTGTCAAAGTGGCCGCCCCGAAATATCCGACGTTGACCTACGTCGCCATAATCCGACGATTTCAACCGGTTGCCCGCCAGTACCCTGCGCCTTCACGATGCGGCACGCCTGTATTCCAGTATGTGAACGCCAGTTAATTGTAGCAAGGTTCTTTAGGGTTAAACATAGACCAGATACACATATCCTTAGTTTTTCTTAAAACATCTATTTACAAACGAAATTAGGAGTTCAGATGCTTATACTAAAAGAAAACTTAGTTAAAGAAATGAAAGGGGAATGCAACAGTCACCATGTCTTGGAACAACCATGCGCAACAGCGGGTCTCGTTTTTGTAGCTGCTGTTATCGGGCCACGGTTGTGGCTGGCAGTCAGGAGCGGGAGCGGTTGGCTTTCGTATATGACCCAAGAGTCACCGTGCCATGTGCTCTCGCAGTAGGAAACAAAACAGTGTAGATTTCTATGCGCTGCCCTCACTGGGACAAGGTCAGACCGCAGGAGCGAGCCGCCGATTGCTCTGGCCGATAGTGCCTTTCCGACCCAGCACGTTCTCCTGGCCAGTCCTTCGCATGCTCTCCGTGCACGCGCACTCCCCATCTCTTCTCTTCTGTGTCGTCTTCCCTTGTCCCTCCGAGCTGATCCATGGACTGACCCACCCTTCTTTTGCACACTGAGTCACATCAACACACTCCACACTAGAGTACCAGGTTTTCAAAAGCAGAAAAAAGCCAGTACGAAAATTGAAATTGACAGACATTTTTTTTAGATAATCAAACGAAACTTTGGTCAAACATTTATTTTCTGCAAGTGCCTATCTTTTATATAGACAAAAGTAAAAACAAACATATTAAACAACACCTGAAATGAGCTACACTGACCTATTTCAATCTATTGAAAAAGTTAAAGGTTTGTTATTACCCCAACCAACCTCTTGATAACTCCTGGCAAGGAATTGCTCCCTACTCCTCAACACATTTGTGTGATTACAAACAGTAGCATTCAGATGAAAGGCTTGTGAGCAATGCAAGAGTTTGGCTATGCATGCACAATCAATGTAGTATACAACTAACCGTTCTGAGAAGTCGACAGTGCAAAAGCTAATCCCTGCCACCTGATTAATGCAATCACCATCAGGTTTGTCATCCAGTGCTTTGGCAGATGCCACACGAGGCAGAGGCATTAAACATGTACAGGAACATTTCAGTCATTTGTAAGGCACTACATTCCTCTCATTTTAGGGCACGACATGCATTTAAATATTTCAACTGAAATGGTGCATATCTCTGCATGAGTGAAATGATTCCAGTGTTACAAAGCATGGAAGGCTAAACTTGCAGCTGATTCATAAACCTTTCAATGTAAGTGCACTTGATTGTTGTGGACCAAAATGTGTAATTTGGCCAGTCGAGAATTCGAACCAAAGGTTGTATTTGTATATGTTTTGCCTGAGAGTGTTTTGGTGTGGTTCATAAAATTGCAATTCCACACAGCCTGCACTATAAGGTTTTCACAGCCGTGTGTTCATGGTGGATCAGATCAAAATGAGCCAAGGCTTGGGAACACAGATTACACTTGTATGGCTTTTCACCTGCGTGAAGATTGTATATGAGCAGATCACAATTCTCAGAAAAGGCTTAGCACAAAACTTGCACTTAAATGGCTTTCCACCAGAGCATTTGATTATGGCTTCCAAAATGAGAATTCTGAGCGAAGGCTCAAAGTCTAAGCTTTCATTTCTATGGATTCTGACCCGTGTGTGATTGTATTTGATCAGATTACTACTTTGAGCAAAGGCTTGGGTATACAGCTAGCAGTTAAATGGCTTTTCACCCGAGTGTGTTTGATTATGGCAGATGAGATTGGAATTCCGAGAAAAGGCTTGGAGACATAGCTTGCACCTAAATGGCTTTTCACCTGAGTGTGTTTGATTATGGCGAATGAGATCACTATTCTGAGAAAAGGCTTGGGGGCAGAGGCTGCACTTAAATGGCTTTTCACCAGTGTGTGTGAAATTATGCCGTGTTAGTTGAGAATTCTGAGAAAAGGCTTGGAGGCATAGCTTGCATTTAAATGGCTTTTCACCCGAGTGTGCTCGACTATGGCGTATCAGACTGATTTTCACAGAAAAGGCTTGGGGGCACAGATTACACTTAAATGGCTTTTCCCCTGAGTGTGTTAGATTATGGCGGATCAGAGCACCATTTTGAGAAAAGGCTTGGGGGCACAGCTTGCACTTAAATGGCTTTTCACCAGTGTGTGTTCGAATATGGCAGATCAGATCGCCCTTCCGAGAAAATACTCGGGGGCACAGCTTGCACTTAAATGGCTTTTCACCCGTGTGCGTTTGAGTGTGGCAAATGAGATCGCTATTCTGAGAAAAGGCTCGGGGGCAGAGGCTGCACTTAAATGGCTTTTCACCAGTGTGTGTGAGATTATGCCTTGTTAGATGAGAATTCTGAGAAAAGGCTTTGACGCATAGCTTGCACTGAAATGGCTTTTCACCTGAGTGTGTTCGATTATGGCGCATCAGACTGATTTTCACAGAAAAGGCTTGGGGGCATAGCTCACACTTAAATAGTTTTTCATCAGTGTGTGTTCGAATATGGCAGATCAAATCACCATTCCGAGAAAAGGCTTGGGGGCACACCTTGCACTTAAATGGCTTTTCACTAGTGTGTGCTTGATTATGGCAGATCAGATCGCCATTCTGACAAAAGGCTTGGGGGCACAACTTGCACTTGAATAACCTATCACTTTTCTGCTTTTGAGTGTTACTAAGCAATCGGGATCTAGAGGTAGGTGATATGGAAGGGTGCTGGTACTTGTATAGTTCATCACCATGGGCAACCAGGTGGCTCACAATTCCATGCCGATCCCTGCTGACATAGGCGCAGGAACAGCACCCGAACCAGATGTCTTCAGTGGCTTTGAATGGGCAGCTGGTCTCTCCCAAAAGTGCAGCTCCTCCTCCTAGAAGGCCTCATATGTATTAGGAACATGGGAAATCACAGCAAAGATAGCCACACGTTTTAGAAATAAGCAGTCATTATTATAGCTCGGCATTAGCTGAGTGGTTGAATTTAATTTTTTCTTTGTTACTTCACTTCTAAGAAGCACTGAAATAAAGTTTGCTCTATTAACTCTTTCAATAGTGTGCTAGAGATAAACATGGGCCATAAACATTTTTGGGTCAGGATAATTAAATTTGGAATTGTATTTTAGTATAGCATATGATTTCATAGGCAAAAAAGCAGTCAGAAGCCTGCTTTTTAGTACACAAATCTGAAAACATAGTGAACTATTTTGTACCTCCCATCTTTCAACAGATCTTCGCCTTTTCACTGCGATACACCTCCGGTGCCCAGAACATGTCACCCCGACCCAAAGCATGTCACATGATCTTACCTGACTATATTCCGTTAATCCCTACGCAATTTGTCACCAAAAGGTATACCTACTTGAAAGTTTCTTTGCATGCTGTGTTGCCTGGCTCATTTTCCAAATCGTACTTCAGCGAAATGTTTTTGCAAGTACGTAATCAAGTGTGGCATGGTGGTCAAAATGATAATAAAAAGAATGAGCTCGAAGCACCCGCTGCATTCTTCGAAGCAGGGCTCCTGTCCACAGAAAGAATGGATATCCTGCATAACTGGATTTTGAGATGGATGAACCCGCAACTCAACCCCACAAACCCTACCTCACACTAATATCATTGCATCTTGCCAGTGATCTATCCTACTTGTTCATCCCGAGAAAAATAAATTTGGTCGTGCGAAATAATAGTGCAAAGGTACATGCTCAGCAGCATAACAAAATTTATATAAGGAATCCACTGAACTGGCTGCAATGAAAGTTTTCACCAAGTTGTTTTAGGTGGGGCTTTAATTACATTCAAATTTCATGGGTGCAGATTTTAGCTCAGCTAAAACATCTTTTTGCCAAAGTACAGAGAGCAAAAAGGTAAGACTCAGCTGGTTGGAACTGCCACTAAAAGATGGTGCCACACACTCATCTGCTGGATTTGCTTTTAGGTGTTCATCTCAAAAAGACTTCAATGTCTTTGCTTTACGTTGCGCCATCTGTAAAAAAAGTTTTGATTCAGTGCATAACAAATTTTCAGCCCTACAGTTTTTCTCTAAAACCTGCACTCACCAAATTTGAGCATGATAAATGTGCCACCAAAAGACATTAAAAAGTTTATTGGCCTTCCACTGCAAATTTGTTGAGCCCAAATACTGCTGGGAGACACCCTCTATACACCCAAATAAATAAAAAAAAGTGTTGCGTGATAGTGCGCAAATTCTAAGTACTTTGTTGGCACTCTGTTTCTGCTTGCTTTCAAAAAGGTATCTGCAAGGCTCAGGGAAACAGTACACATTACAGACAACTCAGGCAGAGTTTGCAGCCTTGATTTCAAGCAAGATTATCACACAAGACTGTTATTATGCCGACAGGCTACTTAATGTTACATATGATTCTAAACTGTAGAGCAACGAACGACAAAATACAAACACGTCTCAATGGTATTCTGAATTTGCAAGACATGTGGAAGAGGCAATATTTGTTTGCCAGTGTGGGAGGACATTATTGTGTTAACTAAAGAGACAAATTGCACAAAACAGGTTTAAGAGACTATTAGGATTGGCTCTGTAGTAAATTGTATTGTCAAAAATCCATAGCACTGGATGTGGCGATGCAAAGGTTTTTACTTTTGTAAGGGGTAGAAAAGGGAAGAGAAGCATTGTATAAAACATTGTTTTACTTGACCTTGACCAAAGGCCTGGTTCAAGAAAATTAAGGGCGGCCCCCTTTACTTTGTAGCTCACAGCTACTTGGCATTTATTTCAGTGAAACAAGTACAAATTATTCTTCATGTTGAATTTCTACATACTATGCATTCCATCATTCATAAGGTGATGTTAACGTAAAGAAATATATCTGTAAAACTTTCCTACTTTTCTATAGCGAAATGCTACCACAGATATACCAATGATGAGACCGTCTACGCTGGCTTGACCCATCCAAACAACGAACCCTGTGAACAAGCAAGCCACGTGCTACACAAGTCACTGCGAATCGCTCAAATAAACATATATGCACTTATTTTCAACATTGTGTTTACTATGATGTGTTGTCTATGACTAATTTGTTCCTACATATTTGCTGACAGGGTGATCCCTACATAGCCCAAAAGCCTGAAATAGAAACTGAATTTCGTTAACACTAATATATGGAAACATATTTGATGCCTGCAGGTAATAATGAACTTTACAATGCTCTAAGCCCTTCAACACCATAGTTCGGTCCACAAGGTAATGCAGTTAAGTGCTTCTCATGAGTAGCACTTTGAGCACCATGCACGAGAATAAAGTGGGAACCATTTCGGTCCAGGCGGCAAGCTCTGCATTTTTATCGCAGTGGCCATCATCCCATGACGGCAGTGTACTGTTGTCCCTAGAGTAACAGCTAGCATTATAATTTGGTGAGTGCTACCCAGAGTTTTTGCTGGTCTCAGAAGAAAACAGCTGGAAATAGGAGGTAGCCTTCTGGTAACCAGCAAGACGGCAGTGTGAAATTTAGATGTAAAGATACTTGGCTCGACAATTTTTTTGCTTCTGGATGGATGAGTGAAAGAATTAGGTCAGGGCATTTGATTTGAGCGAGCACTTGAGCAACTGTGCCCAAAGTATAAAGCAACGTCCTCTTGTTTTTTTTGTCTTTCATTCAATAGTCTCCTTGAGCCCTTCCCACCAATCTTCCAGCATTCATTAGTTTGCTTCAGCCTTTCGGAGGCCTCCTATTCCTTCATCAAATCCTCCCACCCCGAAGCAAGCTTAGGTATGTGGCTCAAATAGGTATTACACCCTCTACTGTAGCCGAAAAATAAATTTAGAAAAAGCAGAATCCCAGTTAGGCTACATACCGTAGAATACAGCACCTCTGCCCGTATCACACTAAGTGCCCACACCCACATTTGTAAGATCTGAAAAAATACGCACAGTACATTAATATATAAAATTGATGACCGGACAAGTGCCTAGCCCCATTTTTTCGCAATTATCTCTAAATTTTGAGTGGGCACTTGCCCGGTATTTTACGGTATATGGTGCCAGCGCACGCAAACAAACTTTACGACGGTCCGAGCCCTTCTACACCATTGTTGGGTCCACACGATGATGCACTGAAGTGCCACTCATGTGTAACACAGTAGATTTGCTTTGATCCTTACAAACCCCAATAAACTTAGAACCACTTTGGCCCATTCCTCCTAGAGGTGGCAAGCTTTGCCTTTCGTAACGTAATGTACATCATCCCTCAGTGGCAGTTTACTGTTGTCCCTTGGGAAAAGGTTACCATTATTATTTGGTCAGTGCTACCCATAGTTTTTGCTAGTCTCAAAGGAAAACAACTGGAAATGAGAGGCAGCCTTCTGGAAACTAGACAGACAGCATAGTGTGAGATTTAGGTGTAAAGATTTTAGGCTGAACAATATTTTTTTTCCTGGATGGATGGATGAATTGGAGCATGGAACTTTGATTTGAGCAAACCCTTGAGGAACTCTGCCCAAAGTATAACTAAACTTCCTCCTTAGTTTCTTTTCTTTTTTCTTCAATCGTTTTTTGCTCTTTTTAGCTTTTCCCACCATTCTTCCAGCCTTCTCTTAGTTTGCTGAACCTTTTGGAGATCCCCTATTCCTTCATCGATCCCTCCCATCCCACAGCAATACAAAAGCCCACCTCGGTTTGGGTATGCAACGGACTCGTCATACTTTACATGCTCTGGTGTTACCTTTGCCTGTACCCAGAGTGTCTCTTCATATCTCTAACAATAACTTGTGGTCTTTAGTAACCCCTTCCCCTTTACCTCAGACGATAATTTTATTTTGAATTGTTAAAAAAGTTCTACTTTCTCTATCTCAATATTTATGTGCAGTAGCCTGGTAATACAAGTTTCTTTTGTGCTTTCCGTTATGGGCTACAAAACTGAACCACAAGCCTGGCTTATGTTTGAGTTTGGAAGCATATTTGTGCACTTTCCAAAAGACGGCGCTATTTACAAGCTTTTGTAGTACGTTTCATATTTATCACTAAACTGTAATCCCCCTGCCCCCCCCCCCCCCCTACACACACAACGTGAAAACAAATTAGATGTCAAAAACATGGGAAAAGCTGGCATGGCCTTAACACGCATGTTTTTAGCCGATGAAGAAATACTCAAAAAATTTTGTTTGCAAGTGTTTGCAATCCCCCCTTTGATACCCTGCAAACTTTATTTAAGAGAAAATATCGTAAGGGTGCAGCAGGGCTGGTGAATATTAACCATGTTAAATTAAACAGAGACTGTGGTTAATGTTTTGATGCTTCCTCTTTACCCCAGCTTCAGGTTAATTCAACATGGTTAACTTTATTTAAAACCATAGTTTGGACAAAAAATAAAAAAAACATTCACTTGGCCTCCAGATGTAGCGTTGCCCTCTACCTTCCAGAATGTTTTCAACAATACGACATGCTCAACAACCATAAATGAACGCATCGGATGGGCAAGAATATATAATACAAGTGACAAATGACATCTGGAAGGCAAGCAAATGTTTTCCCTGTTTGCGCAAATTATAAATTTTCAATAAAAGTTTGTGGCATGTTTTGCAAAGAAAACATATTAGACAGCAATGGCTGACTTTCTACACTGTTCATTGGCACCTCGCACAAAGCCCACTTCCTCTATCTCACTTTCACCTTCCGGTATATAAAGGCCCGTTCACACTCTTGCGACCGAGTACGACTGAGAGAGACGAGATCTCTTAAAACTTGTTAAATGTTTTTAGAATGAGGGAACACACTGGCATTGTGGCGCCATCTATGCGGTGACCCTGGAACTGCATTTCACAAGAGCGAAAGTTTTGCGGGATTTCCGAGGTCAAATGTGCGTAATACCCATAGAAAGGCTCGTTTATAACATTGAGAAAAGTCTTTCGAGCCAAGAAAGAAAGGATAATGCGCGAGAAATTAAAAAAAATATGCCGGTCCGCCGAGTTTACACTGCTTCCCAATAGATGGCGCCAGTGTGTTCTCTGGTTTAAGAAGTTTTAAGGAACCCAGGTTTAAGAGGTCGCAAGAGTGTGAACGGGCCTTAAGAACTCAAAATTTACCTTGGCTCACGCACATTTCCCGCTGCCATGAACTTCCTCTTAACTTCAATCCTAGTGCTTGCTTTCCTCTTTGGGAAGCATAATCCGTTTCACTCCACATTTTCATCTGAGCTCTGGGCTCAACTGAGGACGCATCCCTAATGGAGGATCTCCGAATCGGCACGGATTTGTACAAGAAGCAGTGCTTTGGGCTATGACCATCTGTAGTCTAGACAGCCACTGTACTCTCTTTATGAAAGAGGTTGAAACGAAAAACTTACCAACACTTAGGGACTGGATGGGTTCCATTAGAATTGCTGGCTGTGATCAGGTTCGCAAGTAGGCATGGACGGTCACGAAGGAGACATGGGACCACTTGAGATGACTAGGACCTATGCAGAGAGCAGTCACCGTAATTAAGAACAAAGCAGGCACACCCTTCAAGCACATCAGGATAGGTAGACAGCTATGAGGGTAACACACAAGAGAAACCCACCCACAATTTTGCCATTTTGAGATAAAAATGAGGAATGAATGAGAAAACAGAATGCTGTGTGCATAGCAATTGTGGTAGCTTGTATATGTTATCACAACCCAATTTCTTGTTTTCTGCCACACTGCAGTAAAATTCCTATCAGTTAAAGGGGAGACTGGCAAAAAATAAAATCTGAGATAACTATACCACTGGAACCCATTAGTTTTCCATATATATATTTGCTAAACTTGTTGTGTAGAGAGCACTCTATTTTTCTAGATAAATCGGACTGAACCTTGGAACCCTCGGATTCACCCATACAGGAAGGCCGCCATGTTGCTTTAAAAAAAAAACAAAAAAAACACTGAGTGTTGCTTAATGCTCAACAATATGAGGATTCGCACACAGCGAAGTTTAAAATTCCTTTAAATTCAGTTGTTGAAAAACTATTTTCGGGAACAATCTGGCAGTTATGGCAAATGTCAAGAATTACAAAAACAAAAAAAAAAACCACCACCATAAAATACCGGGAAAGCGTCCACCCCATTTTCACTGGAAAATGGGTTAATCTAGACGTGGGCACTTGTCCAGTCCAAATGGATGATTAACATATAATTTCTAAATTCCAAAGTTTGAAAAATGTTAATAGATGGCAATGGAACGAAGTGGGCACTTCTGCAGTATTTTTTGGTAATTAGCAAATCAAATACCTAAATTTTGCTAATTTGTTAATTAGTAAAAATAAAAATGGTTTCATTAGGAAGTTTGTTAACACACATCAAAAACCCTTAAATCGTCGACCTTGGGAAAAATGAAACGTGAAAATGTGTTTGAAATTTCCATTCATTCAGCAGGCGGAAGGTTGGAGAAGCAAAAACACTGATGATTTTGTTATCATCGGCATTTTCACATTGCCAGCCTTCCTTCTGCTTCATAAGTGGGAACTGTATCGTGTGAGTCGCATGATAAGACGCGGCGTGTGACTCAGCAACTACGGCGAAGCCCATACAGTGTATATAAACGATAATGAAATAAACACCGGCCCAGTTGGGCTGCCCGGCACATCACATTGTGTGTCACTACGCAACAGATACAGGAACTTCAGCGTGGAACTTCAGCGCGGAACTTCAGCGCATGCCCACGCATCACACATGCTTTGTTCTCCTATAATTGAGTAATTTGAGTTTATAACAACGCTCAGTAAGTTTCTACTCAGGACCAAATGTTTATTTTCACTGATTCGTGCTACTTTTCTGCAATCTTCGACGTCCCCCGTGGTCAGCAGTTTGATCCCAATAAAGAGTTTCTTTATTTCTCGAACACTCTACTGCAGACAGGGTGTCTAGCAAATTATCATTTTCAAATTCCCTGACTTTTCCAGGTTTTCCCTGACAATTTTAGGTGAAATTTCCTGACCACTGTAGAGGCAGTCAAATAAGACGATTACAACACAAGGCATTGAGCAATGTGAGGATAATTTTGCACGGGCTTAATCCAACTTGCACATATTCCAAAACATTCGGGTCCGTCCAGTTCGGATTAAACGAGCACTTTTTCGCCGCCGACATCGTCAGTGAAGAGGCCAATTCCGGAAAAACAATGAAAACATGACGCTCAACCACACAGGTCAATAACCGAATGGCAGCATGGCCGGCATGGCCACCAGATGCATGCTTTTGGACGCTTTCGGCTTAAGGCTTGGATTGGGGTCTGCGGCTTTCCCATTTTTTACTAAATCTAATAGCTCTAACTGGATCTAGCCTATAGTGTCGCGCCCTCAATCCAATTCAAGGCTTGGACAGGATTTGTTGGCCGTTTTCTCTGCATCAAATACCACTCTGCATCGGGTGAGCAGAGCCCGCACTTTTCTCTAAACAGAATTCTTTACCTGTTTTTCTGCCCCCAAGTTCTTTAGTCTTTGCTCAGGGTGCCCAATGGCATTTCCGGCTCATTTTCCCTGACTGGACTCGCTTTTTGACGAATTCCCTGACAATTCCTTGATTTTTCCCGGTAATTAAAATTTCCCTGGCAATTCCCGGTTTTCCCGGTCGCTAGACACCCTTGCAGAATAATGCGCATCTGCCCATTCCACACTAAGCGCCCATTTCCAAGTTCGTAAGATCTCAGAAAATATGCACAGTACATTTATATGCAAGATTGATGACTGGACAAGCGCCCATCCTGTTTTTTTTGCAATTATCTCGAAATTTTTAGTGGCCCTTGCCCGGTATTTTACGGTAGTAGTAGGAACTTTTAAAAGCGTTTGCAGAAACAGCTGGTATAGTCTGCAAAGGAGTGACCAACTTTCGAGGACGCTGCATCCGCATCACAGCAACTGGTATCTCGCGAGCATGGGAGAAGGCAGATGTTGCAGTTCCCGAACAAACGATCCAAGAATTGATAGATGAGTGTTAAACAGTTACAAAGTTGAAATGCAAACTGCACAGAACCTGATCGTTGCAGATAGTTATCGTGGCCTTACACATGGCTCAGTCTAAACACCCTAGATTGGCTCCACGTAGGGGAGCCACAGTTGTGTGTTTGTTTTCCATTGGAACCGCACCACCCGTCACAATCCAACTCGTCACCAGAAAACTTGTTACAACGGGTAACAGCGGCCTTCTCGATCTAGGTAATCTTATTATAGTAACACTCGGTACAGGTGGCCGCTTGTCACCAGAAGACTGTTTGCACTTGTCTTTGTTTTGAAAGGAGCAGGATACACCCTGCTTTACACCAAATAATCACAACGCTCAGAATTAGCGCGACCATGTTTTTGCTAACAAGTGGAATTTGAATTGGACTTAAAAATACGCTCAGGACACTCGTATTTGGTAAGACTACGTTCATTAGTGTGGAACTAATGAACGCACAACGTATGGGGCTTTGATGCTATCATACTAAAATTGTTTGTGCCATTGTACCAAGAAATGTTCTACACAGCTAGCAGAAAATGCAGTTCTGGAATTCCTTCCGTATGTAGGGATACAAACTACTGCAAACCAATAAATAATGTTTTATTTGAACCCTCAAGGCAGTCGAAAACTTCTCCTCCAATAGCACCCCTGGAATTGACGGTATATCTGCCAAATTTGTAAAACTGACAAAGCACTCAGCATCAAATATACTTGCCTTTCTTTACCAGCAAAGTCTGAGTTCTGGTGACTTACCTTCTGGTTGACGCTTCTCACAAGCTAAACCCATATTCCAATCAAACAATAAATCAAATCCATCTAACTACAGACCTATTTCGCTCACTAGTGTTCCCTTTAAGCTCATGAAACATGCTCTTCATACTAAAATTAACTCATACCTTGACCAATGCAACTTTTTTCCCCACCCAGCACAGTTTCAGAAAAAATTACTCCTGCAACAGCCAAATACTGGAATTTGTCACAGATCTTCCTTTCAATTGTCTATCATCGGTAAAAAGAGACATCATGTTTATAGACTTCACTAAGGCATTCAACACCGTTCCTCACCAGCGACTGCTTTTAAAACTATCTCTTCTTCAGACTGACCTGTTAGTCATCAGCTTAGTAAAGTTGTTTTTAACAAACAGACAGCAGTCGATCTCGGTTAACAATTCATCACAATCAGTCCCCGTAACTTCAGGTTTCCCCCAAGGCAGCATCCTCGGTCCACCCCCCCCCCCCCCCCTTTCTTAATATGTATACACGAACTCATCTCTGTGACATCACGGCGCGGTGGTGGCGCGTCGGTCGCACTTCCGGTCTGGGGCTGTGGGCAGAAGTCCCCATGCCAGACGTGTATTCCTGCGTTGTTTTGAAAGGAACCAGACAAAAACCTGCCTTCTAGTCAAAACGCCACGACTGGGGCCGTACCAAAAGTGTCGAGAAAGGTTTGAAGGTCAGTTTTCCCGTGCTCGGCTTGTCCGAGAATCTGGATATGTGCCGTGAAAAGGGAAAAGCAGACGCCGTCGGACAACGATTGTTTGAGCGGGACGCCCTCTGGGTTGAATTCACGGATACTTGTGGTCATCAGATTTATTTGTTTTGTTCCAACATGAACGCCAGACAACTGTCAAGTTGTGCGGACCACCTGTGGACTACGTTCAGTGTGTCTTCAATTCAAACGGCCGCCTGATCGAATTGTCGTCGGCTCTTTCAAACGCTTCTGCTTGTCGTCTGCTCTCTTAGACGACGCCGGTCCGTAGATTAAATGTTGGCCCGGTACTTGCGATAAGAAGTGAGTGCAGGCCTCAAAAGACTTAAATTTGAAGGTTGGTAAGCAGGCTCGATGTAAACAGTAGATACAAGGGGATGTTGGTCATTGTTACCAGTGACCAACACCGACTTGTTGTTATGCCTAATTCAGTTGGTTCGATTCTGCTTGCGATTTTCAGTATCGTCGTCGACCATCTCAGCTACGGTTCACGCTTTTGCAGCCCGAGAGGCATCGCGACTGAAAATTTTGAGCGAAATCTCATCATGCGAATCAGGCTTTATCGTACAATCTGCGACGTCCGCGCGCGGAATGAATCGCCGCATGTAACATTATTCACGCGAAGTTTTGCGGTGTAACGAGCCTCGGTAATTTTGCTGACGCCGCTCAAGATAGTCAGACATCGCCAGGAAGACGTAGAACCAACAATTCGAACGCAAAAAAGGGCAGGGGGACTCACACCGACGCCGACAACATCGCATTTCAATGGTTTGTTTATGGGCGACGGCGAGCTTCCTGCCCACACCCCCATCGCGCATGCGCGGCGGCGGTGGCGTCCGCTAGGGGCGCTCCGGTTTGTTTGTAAACATGAGTTGGTGTATAAACAATCTCCCATCTTTATTTAAATCAGCTTTTCGATAATTTGCAGACAACAGCGTTATTTATCGAAAAGCTTCTAGTCCCATAGACCATCACATCTTTCAAAATGACCTTGACGCAATAAGTATAACAGCAGGTGAGCATTAACCCCACGAAATGTAAGCTAATGAGCACTGCCACAATCTCAAACAAATCCTTCATCCAATAGCTATTACTAACATAGCAACTAGAGCCAGTGCTATTATACAAATGCCTTGGTGTTAATTTTTCTGAAACAGTATCATGGAATCAACACATCGACAGCATAATCAACAGCTCACTAAAATCTCTCTATCTTTTAAGGCAGAGCTATATCTGGGCCCCACAGCAACTGAAGTACTGTCTTATAAAACAATATTTCAACCTAAACTAGAATATGCAAGCCTTACATGACATCCAGATCAAAACTACATAACTTCTAAATTAGGCTGTTCAAAACAAGGCTGCTCGGTTTATATTAAGCAATTCCTCGCCTGAAAGTAGGGTCTCTGCTTTAAAAATCAATATCAATCTTCTTTTATTATCTAACGGGCATAAAATACCGAATGTTTTTTTCTATGTAATGTACTACAGCAACTCATTCTTCCGAAACACTTATTGCCATTCTGCCCATTACATTTCTCCTCGAACCGATACTTTATGTAAAGTTCAGCAATTCCACTATCCCACTAATTCTTTTTTTATTTTCTCCCCTCGTACTATCGACTACAGAATAGAATGACTTGCCAGACCACATGGTTACTAACACAAATCATGAGTCATTTAAAGAAAAGTGCAAGCCTCTGTATCCCGAGTAGAACATGTATAATTTCTTATGCTTTCTTTTTCTGATTTCCTTTTTGTGCTCAGTTAAAGATGAGTTCTGTGTAACGTGTTAATCTGATTTTGTAACTTTTGCTTTATTTACATATGGGGTAATATGCTGTTATGAATGTACTCTACCACCAAACTCCCTGCACCTTTGAAGTAAGTAAATTAAATGAAAACGTAGTAGATCAATTAAATTTGTAAACATTAATCAAAATATGATAACAGAGCACAGTGCACATTAATGCTTGTTTCAAAGCACCATTTTTTCAAAAAAAATTGGAAAGAACTGAGCTATCCGCTTAACCCTTCGTTGACGAATGTTGCCTGCAGGCAATAAACTACATATTTATTTGTGTTTTGTTTAATTGTTTCAGTTATATCGCATGTTTTATACTGTAGTCTGGCAACAGTCTTGAAGATTGAAACTACAGCACCATCTAGTAAAAAGATATGCAAATAGTTGACGAGAAAAAAGAAGTTTGGTGCGCAAATAAGCAGTGACTGAGAACGGCGGAACAGCAAAAGATATGGATAGGTATTTTTCTCTCGCCACTAATATTTTACGATAGGTGACCGTTTTACTCGAGGCTATCACATGCGCAGATATTATTGACATTTTATAGAGATCCTTAAAAGCTACGCAAGAGAGCCACTTTGTTGCCCACAGGCAACAAAGCTATAACTTGGAAGTTTACCTTACAATCCTTTTAAATTTCAGCTGTTTTCTTATTTGATCTTCTTAAACATTACTATCTTAGGAAATAGACTACGTCCATAAATTCTTGAATGCAACACTGTGTGCGTTGCACATTTGGAACTAGTTGGCCTGGGATGAGAGTGGCATGGTTTCGGTTTCGATCGCCACGTCGACAAGACAAGATACACAGAGCGTGGACTATAAACAGCCTTTATCTCATGTTTCCTGCTCCCGAGCGCATTGTTTTTGGTCTCTAAATTAACCCAAATGGCCAAACTAGGAAGCTTTAGCAGAAGCCCGAACTATACATAAAAGTTGCATCGACACATGCTTGTTGTATTTTTGTCCTCGAGCCTCTCTGTTGGCGTTCTGAGGTCTGTGGACGAGCCAGTGATGGGAATCTCGATGCTGCGAAGCTCGGGGATATCGCTTGTGTCGGAGTCAACAGGCTGTAGCAACCAATAAATATGCGTACACCGAGCTCACACCTTATACATTAGTGTTACTGGTCAGGAGGTTTGTTACTTGTTTTGTGCGTCCATTGACGATTGAAAAACAGTAATTGACTTTTGATAATTACTGTTTTTCTTAAAGAGGCCATGAAACAAAAATGTATTGACCTCATTTTAATTTTCTTATATTCATTAAAGCCCAAAGATGTTGTTTCCTAAACATTTTAGTGAAAAACCCAAGACTGAGGTAATGACAGACGACGACAAGAAAGAGAAGGAAAATGTCTCAAACATAGCCTAACTTTTATTGAGGAAAGAAACCTTTATATAGGGTTGAAAAAAGAAGGTAGGAAAGGGAATCCTTCTTCACATCATCTCTCTCCACAAAAGACACTACACCAGATTTCTAACAATGGGGTCAAACCAACAAAAGTACTGACAGCACCAAAAATGACACATCATTAAAAAGAAAAAAACATGGTGGAAAAACTACAGATTGCACTGGACCTTTCACTGAGAAAGTCAGCTATAAGACTACACATTAAGAATGGAAGCGATTTCTAAATCTGTAATGGTATCGTTAACATTATTTTCTTTTTTTTTCTTTTTGTGTAGTCTTATACCTGACTTTCTCAGGCCCGCTTCAGACGGGGCAACTCTTCCAGCAATTTTGAGGTTGCTGGCGGGTTGTTCCCTAGCTTTCCCTAGATCGATGCATATTGCTGAGATCGGGTCCGGCTCGAACAAGCGAGCAACTCAGAGCAATTCGAAGACGGTTGAAGCGGCTGCAGCCAATCAGAGACGCAATATTTTCACGTGGTACCCCTGTGGTGGTGATGATGGCAGCTAAAGACTTAGTTCTGGTTTGGAATGGATCGTTTTCGGAAATAAAAAGTTTCAGAAAAATTAGTTAGTATTCTCAACGCCGTTCAAAGATATAAGAACGCATTTTTAGCGCGTAGCTGGGCGTCTAAGTAGTTAAAGAAGAATCAAATTTAATGATGATGATAGCAAGTCGGAGCAATTCGGTTGCTGCGTGTGTACGCGGGCGGCCGGTGTTGCTGGTGTTGCGACGTCGAATTGCTGGGTGAAATTGCTCCGTCTGAAGTGGGCCTCAGTGAAAGGTCCAGTGCAATCGGTAGTTCTCCCAGCAACCAGAGCCAGCGACAGGGATTTCTCACTGTGGCTCGTCATGTCGCTCGGTTTCTGGATTGGCTGTGGCTACTAGGGTTCCATCCAGACGGATAAATATTCACCATTAGAGGTACATCCAGACAGAAAGCTAGCAAACCTTGTAGTGTTCCGTCTAGATGTAATGACAGTCCCCACTAGAGTTTCATCCAGCATACACAAGGGTATATCCCTCCCCTGACCCACTAATGAAGTAACAACTCACAATGTTCCTATGGCATTATCAATGTACTCTTTCAAGTCAAATGCATTTCTTCCAGCAATCCTATAACATTTCTACTGCTTCCTAAAAAAAAGTCTGTCCAGCCTCTGAAACCACACCTCTAACAATCACCTTCCATGCAAGTGTTTCTTTATTTATTTTTTATTTTTTAAGAGTAGTTACTGGGAATTAGATATAGTGAATGTGCTGCAAACCATTTCCAAAGCTGGGTGCATCGTCGAAACGAAGAATCATTCCCTGTCTCAACTTTCCACGATGTTTCTCCTTGATTGCAGCGCATAATTTAGTAATTAGGTTCGTATAATAAAACCTGGTATTGTGGCTCCGCCTTATAAATAATCGCGAGGAAAAACACGCTTGGCATCCCGACAAATCGATCAAGAGCTTGTTATTGTTACTGTAGCTTGGACGAATATTCTCTACCGAGGGACAAAACCGTAGCTTGGACGAATATTCTCTACCGAGGGACAGAACCGTCTGGAGTTCCTGCGTCTGCTACTGTTCCGTCTGGACGGAACAGTCGCTCATCGCCTTGGTCGCTTGCTCCCGTCGCTTTCATGCGGTTTTCCTCCTCGCGTGACTGACCGAGCGACAGCGAAGCGGGTCGTCGTCGCTTGTCTCGTCGCTCGCCAAATCGCTTACATGCTGTTTATACATGAAGAACCCGATTAATGTCGTCCCTTCAAAGGGCCATCGATCCCTTTGACCCACGCGGTAGTTCCCCGATGTTCCCTTTATCGAGATCGGCACTTACCGCTTGTTTGCACAGAGTCAAACCCAGTCCCTTCGTGTCAGCGCCTTCTTTTGCTCCTTGAAGTGCTTGAAATTTACCACGGAAGATCCCAACAAACGAAGCTCTCCAAAGACAGCGAACAGCGACAAGAAAAAAGCGCCCGAAATTGCGACAATGATTCGGCAGTGAAGATATTCAAATATTTCCCAATTTTGGCAATTTGTTTTGTTCAAATTAATTTGTAACCTTTATTTTTAATAGTTTTAATTAAGTAAATAATAAATTAGTTTTTTGTGTAGTCTTAATTTGATTTCTTCGATAGCACGATACTGGCGCCATCTAGAAGTTGCGCGTTCAACCACGCTTCGAGCCGCGCGCCATCTGGTGGCTGAAACGGACGAATAAATAGAGGTACCGCGCCCTCTTAAGGCCCGATGTAATGATAGAAATAAATCAAATCTAAAGATGTCAATGGCTAAACTGTGAGTTTACAAAAAGCATGGAATACGAGGTAGCCCCTCTTTCAAAACTTTAAACCCCCCCCCCCCCCCCTTTTACGTTGGCCCTCGACCTTTCCGGTGTGGGCTATCTGTCCCCCTCACTCAAATGAGTTTGAGACCACTGGTCTATACTCACATTAGCCTATGACCGCACCGGGTTATGCTCACGTTGATCTGTGCCAGGGTTGGGCAGTATCGCGATACAAATGTATCGCGATAGAATTTTAGAAATACGTTTCGTATCCGTATTTTTGTATCGCGAAGTATTTGTATTTCTGTATCGAAATACATTTGGAATGTTTCTTTCCAATGCGATACAATAAGGATGAAATGTATTTCGTTACATTTCATGAGAAATATCCCCCCTCCCCCACCCCCCCCCCCCCCCTCCACAAAAAAAAAGTCCATCCGGATTTTTTTTTTTTTTTTAATGCAATAAGGTAAAGGAGATGCTGGGGCATTGTTACTGTGCTGACCAAGGTTCCTTCCGATTCTCCAACCTCTTTTTTTATGCGTCCTCTTCTCTCTTCTGAGAAGCGTTGCGTAGTCGGGGATTCGAACCAGGTGGCGTGCCAGGAGTGGAGTCAGAGTCTCTTCTGCCGCAGGACCCTAAGTAAGGAGTTGATGAGTCATTGTTTCTTGGCAGCCAATACTCGCTGCTAATCGTCTCTCTTGCCTTAGCGTACACCCAGCCGGCAAAGCTGAGTCACAGTTCGTTGCAGCACGAGCCTGGCGGTGGTTGACTTGTAATAATAGGAAGACTTACGCTGTGAAGTTCAACACATCCGAATGCGTCTGCGCTCGTAATATTGCACGCCTCAAGGGTACGTCGTCAGTCGACGTGAACGTGACCCGCTGCTGTGGTGATCCGATACCAAGGAAGGAGGCCAGACGTGGCCTCGCTTTGCCGACCCAGACTTCGTACACTTGCGACTTGCCTCGAGCGCGCTGTTTCTCGGAGACATCGCACCTGTGTCAGAAATATCAAATCGCAATCCACGATGTCTCTGTTTGGATAACGCAAGGCGAAACTTGAGGACTGCAATCCATGCGTCGGTGGCGGAGGGTCGGCAGGAAGGCCCTTCACAACAGGGATGCCACCGTATCGTGTTTTCAACCGTAACAGAAGATAAGACATGAGTTCCAAGATGCTTCAGGTGGTTCACTATTCTTAAAAATTCCAAATTACACTGCCTGCGCGGTCTTCAACGAGGTCACCTACAACGAAAGTACGAATTCTCCTTTCATACAGCAGCGTGGTAAAGTTTCATGTTCAAGGCCAGATTTACAGATAAAGAATACCAGACCATTCCACCGTGACGTCATGTAATGAATGTTGACAGGGGCGTCCTTATTGAACAGGGGCGTGGTGACGTTTTGATGTGATTTAGAATTATATAAAGTTATTTAGAGGTCGAAGTCTTTTTGCATCCCTCATCAGACAGACAGTGTCAGGGAAGCAACGATGTAGAGTGGCTTAGAGTGATAAACCGGAAGTTCGGAAGTGGTACCCCCCGGTTACTGCCATGTTGTACGCAAAAGTGTCCACACGTCCCGTGACCTCACAAGAACCGTGACGTCATCGGTAAGATAGCAGCGCCCAGAGCTGGCGGATGCCAGTTTGTTCGGTGTGCGGTAGCCGTGATGCGCAGCTGCTTTCCGACGACTGCGGGCTTCTTCATGCTCGCTGGCGCAGGTAGAATGCAAAATATGAAAGAATGAGACTTCATACCCTTTTTGCGGAAGATCGCTTTGGATCATCCGGATATTAACGCCTGTGAGACAGCATCAGCCGTATCGCCGTACCGGTGTTCGAATACCCGGATGTGTTCGAGGATCGGTAGAACTTTGAGTGCTTTTAGCATTAAATTTTCGTATTCTATTGGTGTTGCTTGAACCTTGGAATGTCTGAGAGTCGACGCGAAATGTATGCGTCGAACGTAGGGCCTAGGCGAAATTGTTTCAGCCCTAGGCAACTGCATAATCTCAGTAACTTTTAGCGAGGTAGCTCCTGCGATTGTTGCGTTTTGCAATTATCAGCAATCTTACGATATACCTTCTAGCATAAAACATTCGCATTTTCCTAGCTTCGTTTGGACGTTGGAATATCTGACAATTGAAGCGAAAGGTATACGTCGCGTTAGGGCCTGGGGGAAGTTGGTTCAGCCCTGCGTCTCCGAATAACCACAGCAAATATAGCGAGGAAGCTCCTGCGATCTTTAACCTTTTGTGCTAATCGACGACTCTACATTCGATCGCAATACTTTGTTGAGGTGAAAAGCTGGCGTTCGCTTAATTTATGTGCATGTAAACTCTTACAAAGCATCTGAACCAATCATTCGAAAAAAAAAGTTCATTACTTATGTTCATAAAACAGTTTATTTGTCCCCTTGAAACCCAGAATACAGCAAGTCTTCACATTCTTGATTGGTCAGTGCACAAAATGTTGCATTCGATGTCCCCTAGCAACTAGTATTAGTAGGCCCTTTACCTTGCTGACCGGTATCAAGAGTCCACAGTAACAGGCCCGCAGCCAGGGGGGGGGCATGGGGCCCGGCCCCCCCCCCCCCGAAATCTTCCATTTTGCTGCGACCTCCTCTCCCCCCCTCCCCCTCATACAGCATTTTGTCATGGGCGCCCCCGCCCCCCCCCCCCCCCCCCCCCCCCCGAAACGAAATCCTGGCTACGTGACTGCACAGTAACCTCTATGTGTAAGATCATGCTCCTCTCAAATGGTTGTCTAATCTATCATGCTAACATCTAGATTCTTAATATGAAAAAATTCAGCTTCACTCTTTAGAGTTCCAGAGATAGAACCACAGATATCATCAATGCGTTAAATGTAATGCAACTCGGAAATAGAGGATTAACTGCACAATTTTCTCTTTCGTAGGATTTATGGCAGCAATACTTTTGTTCATCAAGAGTGCATTGTATTAGTCGGTCAAATATTTAATTGTGCTATTTACCTGGACAAGATGGTTCATATTTGTGTTCATCCCTTGCCCGAAGAGAAGTCTTGTTAAAAAATGTTGACTACCATTCCTTTCAGTCTCTTCAATAGACTTTTTTCAAAGGTGTAGGCTGCCAATACAATACTTCATTTCGGCCTAACTTGGAAAAGGGCAACTGCCACAGTCCCCACGAGCCAATCAGAGAGACGGAGTGAAGGTGTGCGATAAATCTGTACAGACGAGCACTCTGGTGATATGTTGTCATGTGTCTCTCTGCGACGTGCATATTGACTCACCGAGACTGTAGCCTTTGCCGTTGGCCATATTGTGATGAAACGAATTACAGTATACTACTCTAATTACACAAGGCCTTCATACTTTGGGCATTTGTTCGACAAGAATGTTATGTAAGCCATCACTGTGAACTCGGCTCGGCCCCTATTGGACTCGAATGCTGCATTATCTTTCGGCGTGAACTCGGGCCCATTCGTGTGCTTTACGCCGGAAAAAGACTGGTGACAGTTGTGTTGCTAGATGGGTTTTTGCAAAGGATGTTGGGTCATCTGTATAGGAAGTATCCTGCTATATAACAATGCATCGACACATACTATTAAACTAGATGCTCAGAGGTATGTTCATCTTTGTATTACAAGTTACAGCAAAAATTACTTCTTACAGGTGTAATATTTATTTTTAGCAGCTGGGCCCATTTTGTGCTCATTAACGTCAGTGTGCTATGATGGTATTATAATGTATGTATAGTTTTAAATATTCTCTCTGCAATGCTTCCAAGGGTCTTTGAAGAGAATAAATTAATAAATAATATTTTCACATCACTGGAGTTTTCTTTCGGCGGCACCACATGCTCAGGAGAGGTGGAAGGAGTGCAGCCCCGTGCAACAAGTCTGCCAGTCTGGTTTGTCCCATTTATTAATAGTGGGGGGTCAGATATGCAAGTGTCCTCAAAAGCTCCGCCGCATGCAGTGAAGACGATTTTCGGTCTGTAGACTCTGAAGGCGTAAAGGCAGGCAGAAATATGTTTATTTGATTAGTATATCAAATATGTGTATTTCCACTTGATTATATAATTATTTATTCTTAGCAAATGTTTCCATAACGAGTTTTTTTTTTGCGACAGTCTCGTGTCAGGCGTTTTGTCCTCCTTGCTGTCAGGTGACGCTCCTGGCACGTTGGTGTTCAGTTTGGTCGATTGGCAACTTTGACTGACTGATGCCGTCTTGTAATCGTACGTCATGTGCGGCCACTGACATATCTCATGCACTGAAGCTGCAGGGCTGGCGTCTAATCTGCAAACTTTCCTGGTGGTTTTCTGCGTCATTGCAGCAAGCTCGGGCATGTATTGCTTATGTGGCTGTGCCTTTTGCTCTACCGTTGACTTGGCTCGCAACAATGTTTGTTTGCTATCCAAGCCATTTCACTTCCATTTCGTAATGGTGATTTCTTCTGCATCCCGCGACCACTGCAACTTGTGTAAGTTCCGTCTGGCAAAGTCATGTAGGGTTTTGCTTGGTGTCCACTTTTGAGAACAATCAACCATTCTATTTCTTCAAGTCACTCAGCGGCATTCTCCCTCAAAGTTGAAAACTGTGTGCTTCGTGGAGTGGACGCAGATAATTTGTGTCAGCAAATTATTAGGTATTGTCCTTGGACGCCAACCGACACCAAATCAACTGTCATTGCATTGCCGCT